TTCATTGTTTGGGAAATAGGTTTATTTGTTTATTGCTGAGATTTAGAAGAGAGATTTGCCTGAGAGCCAAAAAGGAAACCACAACTGCAGGTTCTGTAACATTAGTAAAGAAAATCCATTGACATTTTAAATGATGCAAATAACTACATGTTCAGATTTGGACTAGCCTTTCTCAATAGAAAGTAGACATGTGGTAACTACTATAGGCCGCACTATAGGCTGCACCATTTCCCAGAAGCATTAGAGCACTGTGGCTCTGAGCTATGTGACTCACTCAACCGTGTCTGTGCTAACAGCAGCACATGTGGACTGAACAGTTCAGGAGTTGTGATGTGGATGTTCCCCATGAACATCTCATCGTGGAACAGAGGACTGGAAATTCTAGAAAGAGAGGACACAGGCAGTGTTTTCCACAATTCATGCTGTAACTGTGTTTCAATACACAGTCACTTAAGAAAAGCGGCAGCATTGCGCTCATGTAAAACTACGATCTATAACATTTCAACAAAAAGATAAATGTTTGAACTTTCCCCTTCAGTTTGGTGTTCAGCTAAATGAAGTTATCTACACTAACTGCCCACTGGCTGAAGACACCAGAGAGGGCTATCTGTCACTGGAGATGGGTCATGCATGTAGAATTTTACATTTCCCAAAATGTTCCTATAAAGTGTAAGGTTTATCATCCAGCCCCGTCAGTCAGTACATCTAAGAGAGTGATGGCTAACTGCAAACTTGCACTTTTGTTGTAATAGTTGCCTTGAAAACAAAATTAATGTCAACTGTCTTTACTGAAATCATCATCTACGACCGTGTCAATGTTAGTAGCTTCAGTCCTTTATCTTTAGGCAAAACTTTGTACTGTACTTCAGTGTTGACACTGCCACATGACGACTGAAGGGGCGTTTAAAATGTTTTTATTTTCTAATAATCTTTGCTATGTTCACTGTCACCAGAGCTTCCACACCTACAGTCGGCTGTGCTGTCTTTATGTGAGTCTGTGTAAAGATGAGGAGTGGAGTCAAAACATGTTGGTGAGTGTTTCTGTGACTTTGTGGCTACGATTAATTATATTTTAATAAAAACCAACAGTGTTATGAATGTGTCTTCCTGTTGCAACATCACATGAAACAGCCAGAAAACAAGTTAGACATTAAAGCCACTATTAGCCTGTATGTTGGTTTATAAATGCTTACTTTAATTTTCCAGCACAAAGCTTGATGGAACTTATTCTCCAGCCATGTGTCTTTAAATCACTGCAGACAAAGAGGCTGCAACAAGAGGAATAAGTGATCATTTAATGTGCACCATGGACTCAAATGTGATGGAAACATAATAATTATATATGTTTTGTTTTCATTTCAGAAAGGTCTCACTCTCATTATTGCTCCACATTTATCTGCAGTTGCTTCCTGTATTTTTGTCTTTTAAGTCTTAAAAAACAATAATTTACTGTATCAATGATCAATTCACTAGTTTTTCACCTCAGCCGACTTTTTTCAACCCCTGAGGTTTTGTACGATATTCTAGTGTTTCAACTGTTTTTTATGCTTTAACGTGTCGGTGCAAATTCAAAGTCCACATAAAATAAAGTAAGAATGATAAAAGATTAATTGCAGACCTCTTAAATCATGTGGTTTCATCACAATTGCCATATGCTTCACCACAAGAAAAAAGAAAGAGTTTGTCACAAATATTTTATGCAACATTGCTCTTGAAATGCATGGCTTGTGTTTTCTATTCATTAGATCAATGCTGCAGGCTGCAGCCATAAGTAGAGCACTTATCTTTGTCCATTATAGGTCAATGAGGAGCTTCCTCTCGAATTAGCATATCTGTGTGAGAAACGATAAAAGACGACAGACGCTCGGTGCTGCTGTTCAGAGATTGTATTTGTTGAGACTTCAAGGTTCGCCAGCCAGTCAATCACCACATCAGCAAGTGCACTTCAGTTAACACATTCACAGTTTCATGGCACAGGTAAACGGGGGTGTTCAACAATGACTCAAGTCACTGGTCTGACTAAAGAGACAGTTCAACAGTAAACAGCTAGAGACAGGTAACTAAGCTGTGCTCGTGCACAGCAGCGTCTGGGGAATGACATGGAAATACAGTATGTATAATCAGAGAGAAAATGACCTGTTATTTGTATTCTGTATTTTACAGGGGAAAGAAGGAAATTAAAAGGTAAAACATGTATTTTGTGCAGCATATCATCATAGTCAGTGAGAAGAAGAAACATTAAGGGTGTGATTGGGTTTTGGCAAATCGCAGCTTCCTGCAGATGATGGTTTAAATCACACGCTGCAACAAAGGAGAGCATTAGAGATGAAAAACCCTGTGATCCACGGTGATCATGAATAATAATAAAATGATGTGGTATAAGCAAAAATGTAAGGCTTGAATAAAAGAAGTTACTTATAAAACACAGATTGCATCTCTCTAAGCACAGGGAGAAGAGCTCAACTGTTTCCAGATCTGTGCTGACCTGCTCCTACTTGTCTTCACATGGACTAGCACATTTTTTCACACTGATATCCAGATGATACGATCATGCTGCAAATGTCTGATTTTACAGATTTTTGTTGTTTCCAGGAATATCAAGCTGAACACAGACATGACAGGTCCAGATTAAATCCCAGCACCACGTTTCCAATTCATCCAGGAAGATTAGTGTCCTGCTATGAGTTAAGATGTTCAAAGGGATGAGATCATGAAGGGACAGGAAAATGCATTTGGACAGTTGCACATTTAGTTTTTTGTATTCCTTAGTCTTCGTACTTTACTGTGAAATAAAAATAAAAGAAAGGACAATGCATTAAGGTCTGGTGATTTTGTTTCACGTGTACCACAACAGTGAACTTTTAACCTGTACACTTTGTGTGAGTTAAAAGGGCTCTACCTCCAACAAATTACACTTTTTATTTATTTCAAATTGACTGCGCTCAAGCATTGGTGCGGAAAAAATGTGCAAATGTCTGGACTGTATTTGTGTAGTAATAAGAAAGAGGTGATATTATTTTATGGTGTCCAATCATTTTGAAACATTGAGACTTGAAAGATCTGGGATTGAAAAGTGCCAAAGAAAAGTTACCGATATTAGATGTAGACACATGCTGCAGAAAAGTCGATATGACGCTTCTCCAGTCCAGTTTGGACTACTGTAAAAAAACATGGAGGGCTCCATAGAGAGGACCTGCTCCTGATGTAAATATAAAGTATTTCAATATAAAGTTCCCAGTCTAGGGTAAAGAAAACAATAATTTGTACAATTTAGGTGAAACACTTGTGAAAACATCATTAGGATTACTCTTTATCAAATGTTTGCAAATCGATTCCTTTCATCTTAATCTTACGCACTGAACCTTTAATTTAGTTCAAATGCATTTCCAGAGAATCTCTTTGTTAAGACAGTTGTTTTGAACCCAAGTCATCACTTATTTATGATTGGAAATCTTTTTTTAGGTTGAATCTCATTCTCTCCTGTTCAACAGTTTCTGCGTTTTTTAACTGATCTGAATTTAGTTCACTGGAGCCACTGTTTCTCTTTTAGTCACAATTTACCGAAAAAACCTTGGCATGTTTTTTAGGAATTTACAGCACTGAAAAAGTTGAACATTACCTACATCCTTATTTTTTCCTTGGAATAACTTTCTTTGATAGTTTCTTCCCTGGTATAATTACCTAGAGAAAACCAGTTAGCTTAGGTAACTGCACTAGTTTTCTAAAGATATTGGTTTTGCACATGCGCGGCAGATATAACTGCATCAAATGAAATTACGTAAACCTATTGCAATTTTCACGGAATAAAGATATATATCAGTATAATAAGACAGTCTGAAACACGATGCAGCAGAACAAGAGATATCATCTTTTTATTCTATACATTCTTCTTCCTTGTAAAAATCTACATTACCCACAATGCAACTCAACCATTGACAGTTTAATCAGAGATTCAGCCACGTTATTTTCTGCCTTCGGCTAACGTGGCCGTGAGTGACAACAGGCTTTACAGTTTTTATCACACCAACTGTCAGCACACATTGATGTGTAAAATTGTTGAAGTTTCCCTTTAAACATTTCAAACTGTATGCAGCTGTTTGTTCGGACTGATATTCCGTCAGTGCAGGTCATTAGCATACATCTTCCTCTATTAACCTCTGAGCTATTAGCATAAAGTCAGTTCAGATGTGAACGGGGCTGTTCAGAGCCATGGACATGACTGTATGTGGATTAACCCAGCATGTGCCAGAGCCTTCACCCTAACAAGGGCAGCTCTGAGCAGGAGCTGTGCTGGGCTGGACCCGACCCTGACCACAGCTATGCAGCTGTTTGTTCAGTCTACCTGCCCAGAGCTAAATACAGACAGCGATAGAGGAGGGATGGCAGCAAGTTTGTACTGAAACTCAAGGGTGACTGCATTTTCCTGGAAATGACTCACTGATAGAAATTTAAAGATAGTGTCAATGCGTGATGTGGAAAACAAGAAGAAAGCTCTGGATGTAGTTATTCAGCTTGGTTTGATCAGTAAAATAAGACTGTACTGTGATACGTTTAGAGTTGCTTGAAAGATTTCTTTTTGGCATCAATTTATGTGCAAAAGCCAAGACAGCAAGTAGCTTTCCATGCGAGTAAATATTTACTCTGAGGAAAAGATGCTTTCATATAAAATTCATTTTCACAAAATCAGGAGCCCAAATCCATACGTTCCCACAATAAATACTTCATGCTCTGACATACATAAATAAAGGACTTCCAGAGATTTTGAAGCATGGTGCTCTGAAATGATTTGCTGCGTTCAGTGTCAGCACATTCACCTGTAAACCCATGTGAGAGGAGAACCTGCTCCTCTGAGGTGTGACTTGAATTTATGGCTCAGAAAATCAAGCCATGGGAAAACAT